AAATGATACAAGAGCGAAGTGGACAGAAGCTGATAGCCAGGCCATATTCGCTACGACCATCGGCAGCCTTGTCAGCTGCAGCCGAAGGTGATTGGTGCGGACTTCGAATAGCAGGTCTTTTTCTCCGGAGACGACCGCGATCACGCACGCGGGTGTTCATTCGTTCAGTCAAATACTCAAACCTTGCTTCAGCGATCGCGAGCGTCAGCAGCCTCAAGTTAGCGGATATCGTATTCGTGCTCGCGATCGTAACGATAACGTAATATGAATGCGGTGACGTCGGAAAGGACGAGTACCGTGTCAGAACCAGGACGTTAAAGCATCGAAAATAAGCGCGTTTCGATTTTCCTTGAGCGCATAGAGTCCGCCACTCGAGCGAGACTATGAACGAGTCTTCAGAAGAGTTCGCTCATATCTTCCCAATCAGACGAGATCTGAGAGGTCCACTACCAGGTATCTCGCTGCGGCTAGCCGATTCTTTCACCACGCGGTTCGAGGTTCGAGCGTCTCAGAAACCGTCGAACTTCAACGACGAAAGATCAACGCTCGTTACGGTAACCACACAGCGGGTCTCAGGGGTCCTCTCCACGTGGCGGCATCTTTCTTGGAAGGATGCCGCTTGAAAGAAGTCTTCGCCGGGACGCCGCGCCGTCGAACTTGCATCGATGACTAGGGTTGTCGCGTCATTCGAGCCCAATCGCTCTGAGTTCTGCGGTTTTCGCGTCGAGAACCACGATACCTGATACCTAGACGAACGAAGTTCTGAGGGTGAAGAGAGATCTTCTGTTTCGTTTCCGATCGGTTCCAATGTTGATGAAGGAACTGTTTAGTGAATGTCTATCTCGTTCCTTCGAAAAAAAAGTGGTGTTCAATTTCTACGACGGCGGGACTACAGAGCTACTCCCGCAGTCTGCAACAGAATAGCGCCGTCTCGGGAGAAGACGCAACTTGAGAGTGGATCCGAGAGATGCCTTCGCGACATCGGTGCGACGCGATGGCGACGCTGGGGATGTTTTCGATTCCCTCCGCTCCGGCACAGAAGCCGCCGAATTTCCTGCATACGAGACGACATGCAAAATAAGAGTGGATCATATGAGTCAGGTTCCACCAAAGTTTATTCTGCCTCGGAGCGCTGAACGTTCTTACTTCGTCAACGTACCTCTTCGTTCTCCTGATAGAACTTTTTCCTATACCGATTCTCGTTCTTCCTCCGTTTCGTGTTTTCCATCTGGTCCGAACGCTCCTTCGCGCCGGCGCGGGTACAGGCTGCAGCGATTTCTGCTGCACAAATTCAAACATGTAGCGCCGAGGTTGAGCAAGCCTCTGACCGTGTCCGAAGAAAGACCCACGGACATGAATTGACCGGCCATTCGGCGCGGGACTGAATCGCAAAATGTTCTGTTGCGTCGCTAAGTGACGCGCGGACGAGAAAACGGGTCGATTCGTCGGCTGGTGGCTGCTTTTATCTCTTGGATATAGAAAAGGGGGATGCAAGTTCAAACGATTCTCACCTTGAGAATCGGAACCTGGGCTATGAGCTACCGGTCAGAGTGGAGCTCGCACTGAGGTTCTGCCCGTGGTGCCGAACCGTGGGTTCCTAGCCTGCGGATAATGACTGATCATCGTCCCAGTCGCCATCAGGCCGGTGAAGATCTTCAGTGATGCTCCTCCGAAATAGGGGACCCTGAACGGAATCGAGATCTATTCACTAAGCTGCCGTCTGCAATTGGCAAGATATTTCTTGAACTTGCAAGGCCAAGTGGAAAACTTTCTTACAAAATTCCTTCTCGAAGAAGTTCTTTCTATTCTTTCTCGGCTTTCACTATAGATTACGGCTGAATGAGAAGAGCGAGACCCAAACGCCGTCGCGCTTTGAAATCCGATACTTTGGATCATTTCGGTCGGCTGTCGAGTTGATATTTTGAGCCGATTGTTCGACCTTCTCGATTGTATTCCCGGATGGAGGAGCGGAAATTCGGGTTTCAGCTCGGCGGGAGTCTGCCGTGAGTTGAAGTGACTGTTCAGAAAATTTCCCGGAAGCCTGGGCCGAGGATGCGCTCGGACCCTGTTCATCCCCGGAGCCTTCGGTTAGGATGGAGGGTCCTCTGAAAGAAGGTCACTGTGCCAGAACTTTCGGTGATCTATTTCAAAGACCGACGTTCTACAAAAATCAGAGAACCCCAGATAATCTCGAATTTCGCCAGGAAACAGCGCATTGGGGTTTTCCCGCTCAAGGCGAATGCAGATATTCGCGCATTGGACACCAGGATAACAAGGAAAGCTCTATTTGCCGTCCCCGTTCAGCATCTTTGTTGTTGACATGGCCGACCAGCGGACGCCACTTAGTCGATGAGCATTGACGTTGACCAATGAGGGGGTAGGATGAGCGGAGAAGCCGGCATTCGCACGATTGAGCAATAAATTCCTTTATTGGTAGAAAGTTTCCAGAAAGCAGGTCCGCGTCATCGGGGCGTTTAAGTGGCCCTCGGTTGTTTCTCGCGGGAAAATGTGAATCTGGCCGTCCACGTTCGGCGGACACAACAGTCTGACTGCGATATTTTCTTCTGTTTTCGTCCAGATTGTCCGAGCGTGTCCTCGATTGCGGTGCAGGGTACCCATCGGCGAACTCTGCCTCAGAATGCTGAGTTTTCCCGCCTCGATTCCATTCTTATTTCTGGCAGGGAAACGAGCCAAGGACTGACCTCTCTCTCCCTCCTTTTAATTGCGATACGGGAGCTCGCCGAAGCTCGCTTTTTAGGCGCAAATCGATCGGCCTCATTTTTCAAGGGATACTCTGCAGCGATTCGCTGTGATCATCCCCTCCGGCAACGCGATATCCTACTGAGGAAAGAACCAGGGAAAGGATTCTGGAGACATCACTTTTGAGGAATGATTTATAGCGGTTCGTCTTCAGAAGGGAAGTCGAGCCTCGACGCCAGCTTCGAGACTATTGGTAGACATCGATGCCTTCCGATGCGCGACTATCGACCTTTCAAACGAGTAAGCAAGCTATAACGCGTAAATTTCTTTTCTTGCAGAAGGGACATTATTCGAGACCAGAGTCCAAAACTTTGAGGCCCGAAATTCAGCAATGGCGAAAGGCGACAAAGCAAAACGCTCCAGAGCTCGGGTCGTCGGAGCCAACGTCGCCATCGGAGCAGTGAAGGCCCTGAACTACACCTACGATTTGGTCACTTTGCCAGTGTACACTCTAGTGCAACGACCGTGGAGGACGTGGCGATATAAGTGAGTGGCACGAACTTTGGACTAGAATAAGAAGAACTTTAGGTACGGCTTCCTGTTCACTGAAGCTTTTAGACATTCAATGGTTTGGCTCCGAGTCGATCCTCAAGTCACAGCTCACGGCGCCGGCGTGTTTCGCTCTCGATCGATCTCCGATCGAGTCTATCGCGAACCGATGGTAGCGCGGAGCTGAAGTTGAAAGTCCAAGTTGAAATCCATCGATTCGAGATCCGAACGTCAGAAAACGAAGAATTTTCAAGACGAGCCCGGAATAGATTTTTTTTTGCGGGGGAAAACAGAATAAAGCCTTGCGTGACAGAGCTCGGTAGGATTACGCCCTTGAAGAATACAATACTCATTTGCTTTAGAAAAACGTTTCACACACTGCGGCCAATTGTCAGATGCAGGCGTTCGGTGCCGCTACAGAATCCTGCTCAAGGTTCTCACAGACGGCGGTGCGCCCGCACCTCCGTGCCACCTAAGGAGGACGATCCGCGCTGGAGGGAATGGAACAAGTCCCTAAGTGCAGGGGACGGATGGGAATTGGTCGCCTCGGTTGCAGCTCTCATGGATGGATGTCGCAGTGATGTCAGTTTCACTAGACATCTAGAAACGGAAGCCTGAATACGACTGGAGCCTATCATGAGCACTTATTGCTTTCGTGGTAATTTTGCTCGTTGTTGTGCGCAGCTCAGGACGGTCGTCGATTTTTTTTTCACGGAAGATACCTTTGCTCAAAGGAAGTGCTGAGTCAATCTGAGTCCGATGATGCGGTCGAGAGGAAAGGGTCCTATATGATTCATCGACTCCAGAGGGAGCCCATCGGATGAAGGGGGAATTCTTGTTTTGATTTCTCGCCGCCTGTTTTGGACAAACAACATCCGTGAGTTGAGTGATCCCCGCTGAGGCTTCCGCCTACGAGAGGAAACTTGACGGCTGATTCCGATCGGCAAGTGATTCTGGTCTGAATTACCTCACACTTCATCGTAGCGGTTCCTCTAATCTTGATTGAGCTCTGATGTCCGTTAGAATCTCAGGTGAAGGATGGAGAAATCTAGATGAGCAGACCGAAACACTCCCGAACGATTTTCTGTCACGCGTGGGTCTATTCTCAGATCTTCCAGCTGATTCCCGAAATCCTCGATAAATTCCGCCTCGATGCGAGCTCACGACCTTCCGATTCGTGCCATGATACTCAACTCCGTCCGAAGGTTCGAGACATTCGTTTCTCGTTCCCGTTTATGTAAACATCCCCTCCGGAATCGATGCTTCGGAAGAGGCTTCGGTGTAAAATTTGCGCGTTATCAGCCAAGGCAAGGAGTCGATGGCTACATCACTACATCGAAAGAAGGCAGGATCAACCGCAGGCCAACGACCCTTTGCCGATCCGAAAAGATCCAGGAATTTCGGTCGCTCACGCAACCGTTCGAGTTTCGAATTGGGATCGGGAATCGCGTGTCACTCGGTCAAATGTTCATGTAGGATGATGGCAACGGTTGTCGCCGGCTTCCCCAAATCGTTGCGTTTAGGGATCAGATGCCCGGGGGACATTCACCGACGGCTAATGAAACACCACTGTCCGGACTATGCTCGAGAATCATCGGATTTCAAACTGATTTTGAGTTGCCGAGGAATAATCCTTCTTTTCCTTCTTAAGGTTCGTGAAGTTCTCGGAGGTTGACGATGTACCCGGTGCCTCACCCGCCGGCCCGTACACCCGAAGAATAGACCAGATCAACGAAGTCGTGTACCAGGGAATGAAGACCGTCGACCAGCTTATGCGAAAATCCATAAGCCTGTACGGAGACGAGCTCTGCTTCGGCTGGAGGGAATGTTTCGGCGCGGAAGAGGAGGTCCAGCCCGACGGCAAAGTTTTCAAAAAGGTAAGCCAGTCTGGAATTCCGGAGATATTGCGCAGAAAGCCCACCAGTGGGGGATGATGGAAGTCTTCCTTTTTCTCTGCCGTGTCTCGCTCAATTCTGATTTCTGTTTCTTTCGTTCGGTCGCATGGTAATCTCGTTTTTCCGGTTCAGTATGATATCAACAGTAGAGAATGCCCCATTCCAAGGGACAGGGACTCCTCGTTCGCCCGAATTCCAGACGGCGGATTCGCTGGCTTGAGCGCACTCAGCCATCGGCGCGGAAAGAAGTAGAACTCATAAAAACAGAAGTTACACTTTTCTGGCACTCATCGTTCAGAATAAGTTCTGTGCTCGGAAACGCGTTTCCCATCGAGAGGAACAGACGGAGAACAATTACGAATCATGAGACTACCAAACCCAGCCGAGAATTGAAGACTGTTTGCTTGGATACGAGCAGTCGATTCGCCGATGTTCTCAGCTTGACTACTTCCTGTCATTCACCAGAGTTGTCCAAATCAAAATGAGATCCTCCGGAGCTTGGTCTAACCGCTTGACGATTGTTCTCATCAGACCGCCGTGGAACGAATCCTCCAGCAGTTACCTGCAATTGAAAAATTGATTGTTTCGAAGAATCGACTGAAGAGGGAAACGGAAAAGACGTTTTCGCGTCGAAGAGCGCCACTCTGAAAGCTTTCAATAATTGTTTCCAGATCATCCAAGGCGACTACAAATGGATGTCGTACTGCGAGTTCGATCGCAGAATCGATCTCGTCGGTAAAGGTTTGATGTCGCTCGGCGTCCGCCCTCGGCAAAACGTTTGCATCTTGGCTGAAACGAGGATGGAATGGATGCTATCAGCGCAAGCATGTCTTCGAATCAACATTCCCGTCGTGACGCTATATGCCACTCTGGGGGAAGAAGGAATTATTCACGGTAATTTTTCTCGTGTGATATGCGCGATACCTCGAAGCTCTCGAGACTGAAAGCAGATTCAGATGAGAATTTCTTCCTACAAGCCACGACCGGACTAGTTTCGCGAAATATATTCTCGAACGGTCTACTTCTAGAGAGCGATTATTGGAAGAGCTTATCTATCTCGCACAGGTATCAACGAGACGGAGATCACTCACCTCATCACGTCTCAGGAGCTTCTGCCGAAAGTCATCAAATTATTGCCGCAGCTGCCCTCAGTGACGCACGTGATATACATGGAATCTAAACTCGAGAAGGAAAAGCCGGTCTTCCCGAGTGGAGTCCATTTCATCGTTTTCTCTCAGCTGGAAACCCTGGGCGAGAAGGCCGATCAGGAACTGCGAGGTGCGTTTTCCCATAAACTTCATCATAGGCTCCCTTGTGTTGAATCTCGTTGCCCATTGATAATCAGAGAGCTCCTATCGGTGTTCCGGATTATGCGCAATTTCATCTTGCACCTCGGTCTTCATATCAGAATATCTGATGCGGTGTCCTACAGGACAACGGAGGCAGAAATTCAATTTTCTTTGTTTTCTAGGCGAAACCCCCTCACCCGATGACACAGCGATCATCATGTATACGAGTGGCTCAACTGGAACTCCGAAAGGGGTGATGATAACCCAGTCTAACATCGTAGCCACAGCTCGCGGTTTCCAGACCATCATGCCCAGCGTAAGTTCCATCGAATGCTTCGGGGATTTGCGAGTCCAGAATCTCAACATCGTCCGCGGGAAGCGTTCGCGACCACTCGCAAACGTGCCGTATCCGACAAATTTATTTCGGAGCTGAGCTCATCACGTCTCTCATTTTCAGGGAGATCCGGGACATGCCTACATCGCTTATCTGCCCTTGGCGCACATATTCGAATTATGCAGCGAGATCGTGGCGCTCTCCCTCGGTTTGCGAATCGGATTCGCGTCGCCTCTCACCCTCACGGATAAATCGACCGGCGTGAAGGCCGGAGCTAAGGGAGACGCCACCTTACTCAAGCCGACCGCGATGGCCTCGGTGCCCTTGATCCTTGACAGAATCCGGAAGAGCGTCTCTGAGGTCGCCAGATCAAAAGGAGAGTTTGCTCACATGTTCTTCAAGCACGCGGTTTCGTACAAAATGTTCTGGCAGAAACTCGGGTACGACACGCCGATTCTCAACGCAATGGTCTTCAGCAAGATGAGAGCTCTCGTCGGAGGACGCATCAAAGTCATGGCCACCGGATCCGCTCCTCTCCCTGCCGACACCCACGCGTTCATCAAAGCCATCCTGTGCTGTGACGTTGTGCAAGGATACGGTTTGACAGAGACCACAGCCGCAGCCTGTGGGACCGAGCTGACCGACACCCGTTTGGGCTGTGTCGGGGCTCCTCTGACAGGAACAGTACTCCGTCTGGTCGATTGGCCCGAAGGGGGTTATTTCAGTACGGATCGACCCAACCCCCGCGGAGAGATCGTCGTCGGCGGTGCCACCGTCTCCAAAGGCTACTACAAGAACGAACAGCTGACGAGAGAATGCTTCAAGGTGGAAGACGGCACCCGATGGTTCTATACCGGCGACGTCGCCGAGGTCTTCCCCGACGGAACCGTCAAGGTCATTGACCGTAAGAAAGATTTAGTGAAACTGCAATTCGGAGAGTACATCTCGCTCGGCAAAATCGAAGCGCTACTCAAGTCTTGTCCTCTTGTGGAGAACGTGTGCGTATACGGGAGCTCGATGCATACCTACTTGATAGCGCTGGTGGCTCCGAACGAAAAATATCTCGAGCAACTAGCGTCAACTCTCAACAAAGAAAATCTGTCCTTCGAGGAAATGTGCGAAGATCCGGAGATCGTGAACGCTGCCAAGCGGGAGATCCACGAGCACTCGAAGAAATGTCAGCTCCACAAAATGGAGATTCCCACCAAAGTCAAGCTGTGCTCGGAATCGTGGCAGCCGGACACCGGCTTGGTCACGGCGGGTTTCAAGATTAGACGAAAGCAGATCACTAATTACTATCAGAAGCACATCGATGAGATGTATAGCAAGTCTACTTGAGAAGGAAAAAAGGCAGAAGTCCGATATTTCAGAACAATTTGACAGGACCGCGTATTGTTTTGGGGCTTTGACGTTATCAATGTCGGAGCGTCCGACGGGTCCAGCAGTAGTGAAAGTAGTAGTCGTTATAGCTTCCGGATTGTCGGAGTTTCTGAGCGGAAACAAAAAAGTGCAACAAAAAAGGGATCGGAACGAGATCCCCCCGTGCAAGTGTTCTTCTTGAGATCGTCTCGAATTTCCCCAAGTGTTGTTTTATGCATGCACATGAACAATAACTTCAAAGTGAGAATTGCTCAATTAAATAATGAAGATAAATAATAAATATCTGAGGCTTGATTTCAAGTCAGATTCCGGCTTTTGCTCTCGAAGACGTCCTCCGGATAGGACTGACCTTCCTCCGCCAGAAAGCGGTGGCAAGAAGCGCCCAATGAATGCAAGTCAACAAGATTCCGCGTCATGTGGGACGTCAGCAGCGAGAGATTTGAGTAGCAACGCGAGAAGAAATCGTGGGGAGAACCCCCGCCTGTAGCCGCTTAAGTTTTGCGCGACATTCATATCATCGCTCCCGGGAGCGAATTCCTCACCATGTTGTTCGGTGATTCCGAGTTGACCAACTTGCCTTGTCTCGATGATCTCCAGAACTATAATTTCGATTCTTTCCACTCCGTGATTCCCATTGCTGAGCTCCATTCGAATCTCGCGTCGACTTGTTCGGAGCGAAGTCGAGGACGGCCAGTTTCCCCAGACCGTCGCGATGCGTAGTTCCTCCCTCGCTGCTGCCAATTCTCGCAAGTTCACGATACTCGGGCTGACCCTGAATCGCGGCGAAGATCAAGAGAACATTACGAGACAGAGCGGGCGCTTCAAAAGTCAATAGTGAGCTCTGCCCGACGGCGGCCACTCTAATCATCGAGCCCACGACAGAGTTGAGAGCGTGTTATAAAGCGCCCCGGATCGTAAAATGACTATTGAGGGTTTTGGGATTCGGGACGCCGGCACCTACTCCAAAGTTTGTGTCTGCCCGACGCATCCCACTGCGGGTCCCGCGATCTTTCGAACGTCTACAAGACACTCCAAACATGCAGCTGATCTGGAGTTGACTGAAAAGTGGGATCGAACCTCCAGACCCGAGACAAAGCTCCTTTTTGTTCATGCCAGGCGATTCGCGCCCTCCTGGAGGAAAACGACAGGGGAACTTCCGTCATTCACCGGAGCGGATTCGGTGAGTCTGACGAAATAGCAATGAAAAACCTCGATCCTAGTTCTGAGCTGGACTTTTCGGATTCTCTCCGATGTCCGACTAATTTCCTCCGGAACTGCGGAGGAGACCACCGGAAGGAACAATATCTCGTGGAGGAGGAATATCACTATGCATGTAGAGAGAGATATCGAGATCAACGAAACGAAGCCGGTGCACTGAAGTACATATGACCGGACTGTCGGAGGCGAGCGATTCCTTTGCTTTCGTGTAGAAGCCGTCTTCTGAGCGAATCTCACGCGGTAGGGGTCGCCGAATACTGCGATGCGAAAGGAACGAGTTTGCTCATCGATGCTATGATATTCGCTTCTGACGGCCGGACCAGGGGATCTTCTTGTACACGGGACACATAACATCTACGGTACATTCCCACCGGAACCCATAGCTACGTCCCGCCGTGATCCGTTTTCTCTCGACCTGACACGAGGTCGCGAGAAGGGTTCAAATTCCATCACGGATGTGGAGTTGCGCGGCGTCTATCTTGCTCGTGTGCATGTCTTTTTCCTCGGCTCATGACTATGCTACCGCCCTGGGGCACTATAGCGGAGTGCGTCTAATAAGTAAATCAATATATTAGCGGAAGAAAGATAGAATTTTCATAGGGAGCTCAGACAAAAGGACATTTAGGAAAGCTGATCTAGCTTGAACCGAGACCTCCGAGATCACCTCAACTCATCATTTCCCCAGCGAGTGTTCTCCTCACAATGGACGAATGTGTCTTTCAGATTTAGAGGTCAATAGATCGAGATCCCGCGACAAAATGATTTTTTCTTCGATTCCGGCGACGGGGCCTGACTCCCGGCGGAGTTTCATGACGGCTGCCCTACTGACACTCGTCTTGTGCATGTCATCGTCAGGGTTCCGCTCAGCGGGATTTCTGTACATCGGTAAGAAGGGACTGATCACTCAGTCGAGGCGCCAGGAGTGCTCCATGGCATTCCGCGTAGAATCGAAGCTCATGGGCCGAACTTTCTCCGTGAAGGAATTATGGACACGATGAAAGTTTCACGCGGGGAAGCGTCATGGCCTCTGAGTCTGATCGGCGCGGTGACACATCTTTCCGGTGAGACCCTTTTTCCGCATATGTATGTATTTCACGCTACGCAGCAGCGGAGTTGTGCGCCGGAAACAAATTGAATTTTATCGAGCCGTAGAATATTCCTCGCTAAAGAATTGGCAGGGACTTTCTTCCTGGAGCTTTGCAGATAAGAATTTCCTGGTTATTTCAGGTGTGATATCGGGACCTTTGTGTCAGATGTACTCCCCGAGGCCTCTCCTCTTGATCGGGACGCTCATTGCCTCCTCTGGCATGATGTTGTCGTCAATTGCACAGAACGTCTTCCAACTCACGGTCACCATGGGTCTGTCGAACCTCGGCACATGAACCTCTCCGCCTTGAACGAGAGACTTCAGTAGCTTCAAGGAGCGAATTCGGCTCTCGATGAAACATTTTTCAACCCTCAAATTGGCAGGTCTCGTCTATGGACTCGGGAATGGGCTAGTTCTGACTACGACCAATATCTTCATCACTCAACATTTCGTAGAATATCGCGCGATCGCTTTCGGCATCGTATATGGAGGCTCGACCGTGGGTATTCTTATTGTCAATCAGATACCGTATGTTACACTACGGTTCTCCCGGACTCGTATCGACTGCGAGCTCCGAGTAAGCGCTTCGTACGGCGGAATAACATGAGCCCGACTCCCATCAGTTAGCCTCCGTCATATTCCCCACATTGCTCCTGTGGCTGAGCGGATTTTTCGCGTTCAACTACGTGCTCCTCACACTCGGAGGCATACTGCTGAATATGTTCGTTCTCAGTTTGTTGGTTTACGAACCGGAATACATCGTTCAGATGAAGAAGGAAGGTAGGCTTCTCCAAGCTCTGACTATAATATAGTATTCTCGAAACCGACCAAATCGATAACTGTAGCAATCTTTGGATGTCGTCGTTCGGGAAAGTTTGCCGAATTACCTGTCCCGGACATTTAATGGCTTTTGACTCTAATGGGGATCCTCAGCTCCACGCAATGATGGCGAATACCGATCTTTCCAGTCGCTGCCGACAGCACACAGAAGAGGGGAGTAAGTCTCGACATGATAAAGTCCTTGATGACAACAGTTCCTTTCTACGTCTTACTCATTTCGAACATAGCTCTTCAATGGGCCTTCGATGCCTTTATGACTACTCTCGTGGACTTCGCCATGGACAAAGGTGAATTTTAGGACCGACAAGATAGCATGTCGCGGATCTGGGAGATTTCGGTCTCATCTCCTGTCGATGGTCGAGAAGACCCTTCTACGATGCTCCCGAGCTCTGATACGATGACAGCGTGAGAACCTTTGAAGTAGGTATTTGCGATTCTAGGTTGCACTTTGACGCAAGCCGTCGACCTCCTACCGTGGTTCTCCGTCGCTGATTTCATTGGACGGGTTATAATGCCAATCGCCTGCGATCGGGGTCTCATCAAACGGCAAAACTTGATCACGATCTCCTACACCATGTGCGGTGAGAGTCGATCGAGATATTCAACCATAGGCCGCAGGACGAATAGGCAACCTGGATTAGAGAAGGATAATTTGGACGTACCTCATCTATTCCAGGCGTGGGGTTGTCCACTCTGCCGCTTTCTTATGACTACCCCTCGTTGGTGTGCGCGATCCTGTTCATGGGTCTTTTCATGGGTAATGTCGCCCCTTGAAGCGATAATAATAAGAATAGAATCGTTCCAACCGGTGATTGGAGTTCGGAAACTGATTTCGAGGGCACATCTCAATTAAGAGTACTCCTTTTGTTCTTAGGGACCTCCTTGGTGTTGTTCGCTTGTATGGTTGGAGACTTTGTCGGGCTGGAACGACTCCCGATAGCCTTCGCAATCCTCGGTGTTTCTAATGGAATGTTCTTCTTCTTGAAACCCACTTTTTTCGGTGAGATATCTTTGTTGATCGAGGATTGAAAGACATCGATGACAGGGCGACGAGAGTCTCCCGTTCAGCCTTCGATATTTGAAGCGTTGCTTACGATCAATCAATTTCAGGATTTTTCCGGGACAATATAAAATCCTACGATGGAATGTTTTGGTTCTGTTCCTCCCTCGGTTTATTCACCGGCTTCATGTGGATCGGGCTCCTCATCTACCTAAGACGACAGGTGGGCCGAATATTCCTATTCCAATCCGGGGGCTGGATCTCGTTCGGTGGGACTTCGCATGAATTATATCTCAGTCGATGCGAAACCTGTTATGAAATTGAGAGAAAACACCTACACAATGCAGGGCGCGGAAGAGGAAAAGTCTGATGTGGAGCTCAGCACGAGAGAAGCGGCCGCTTACAGCGCAGCCGCAGCTGTGGCACCCTCGACCGCTTTAGAGGCTGTTCGCCGAGGTTCCATGCTCTCCGCTTGTTCCAACATTTCGTCACCCGAAGGACTGTACGTCAAGACTCGCATGTCGGTTGCGGTAGATAACTTGGCGTACGTTGCTGAAGAAACTTTCGAGCAAAGACTTTGAATTGAGAACGGAATAAAATAAATAAACCCGCATTGAAGCGAGTTTCATTCGAATTAAGAAAAGATGGTCATTTAGATTGGGAGTGATTGAGCATCACGTCGAGAACTACAGCAGCCAGACCACCATGTCCAGTGGATTCCGCCCCGAGGAAGAAGGGATCTGGAGAAGGGATCATCTGGGAAGAAACTTGAAACTTCACCTCCCAAAGACCGTTATTGTCCAAGTATTCATTTACATATACATATTAGTTACATGTAATATATTCATGTATGGGCGCGCGGCCGCGGCACAAACGCGATTCATGCTTGGACACTATGAACTAGCGACCGTACTAGCTGGTGATGATGGAGATGGAATCGATGAATTCAAAGGCGTTTGCGGAGCTTCCCACCACAAAAGGTCTCGACTGTGTCTTCGGAAGAGATGGCTTCGTCCATATAAGACTCGATACACAAAATCGCCTGCATTTCCGAGCCATCACTCGCACGATCTCCTCGAAGGTGGTCGAGGCGAGAAAACTCGTTTTGCCGCTGCCTTGAGCTCCATGCTTTGTTAGCTGCTCTTTCAAGGAGAAATCGAATTCGGCGAGGATCGCCAATACCAAGAGGAAATTCCCATTGTGCGACGACTTTAGAAGCTCATTCGAACCCCTCATCGGGAGCCCGCGACTCGTCAACTTCCTCACGACGGCGACCACTCGTTTCTTGACTTCCTTCCAATATCCCACCTCCTGAGCTCGCTCTGATTTGAGCATGACACTCATCATTCATCATGCCCGAGACTTCTCGTCCCGAGCGTTAGCGCGGATTTTTTGCACACCCTTGATCGTTCGTGCTTCTCGAAATGAGCTCTTGCGTTCTTCCAGTCAATGAATCCCCCGCCAGCGAGAGGAATACATGACGAATGTGAGAAAAGGAGACATGGTCCACAGAATACCGTACCAGTGGATTCCGAGTAGATGAGCCACTGTCTATTTTATATCTCTCCATTCGGCAGCTTCGAGCAACGAGCTGAAGGAACGCGCTTGGTCGTGATAGACCCGCTCCTAGTTACTCTCTCCGAGCGAGAGCCGTATACAGAGTTTCTCCTGGATTGCAATGGAGCGACGAGGCGATGAAGTTCCAGGAATCCAGAACGCACCTTGGGAAATCTACGCCTCCCACTTGGCGGGTAAATTCAAATTCCGAGCAGAGAGACGGAGAGCCCTCGATCAGCTGATCGCTAATACCGCTCACCATTCATTCATTGATTGAACAACCGAGGACTGGAACCGGTTCCGACCATCGCATACCGATCTCGGCCGGGGCGAACGCTGTATACAATTTGCGATATCACAAGACTCTACAGACTGAGATTCTGACTCAGGGGCACCGCGATCACCGGCGTTCGCGCGCAGACGAAGTTTTCCTGCAAAACAAAGAGGACGGAACATTCTGAAACCGCAGCGGTTTTCCCCGTCCCTCTTCTCTGGACCGAAAACTCTGGAGTTACATCGTGGCCACTAGTTCGGGGGTAAGCTCAAACTCAGAGCCATCGCCTCGAGAGGCTCATTCGTGAATGACTGTCGCTTCTGTAGGTCATCAATCAAATCGACAAGATATTCCCACCCTTGGATTACCAATGTACCGTCTGTGCTGTTTGGCGCCTCATGACAGCTTTCCGTCTCAGGATCGTCAGGACAAAGGAGAAGAAGTTTCTTCTGTGTGCAGAAAAAATTGCTGCTATGGAGGCTATGGATCAGGGTGCGTCAGAATCGACGACGGAGAGCTCGTGAGTATTGAGCGCTATATTCCATATATACTGTTCGATTGTCTCCAATTTTCCCGCATGAATCTCGCTAACATAACGATCGACGCTCTCCTCAGCCACTGGCCTTCCCGATGGAGTGATATCGAGAAAATCCTTAACCGTACAGGACCTCTGTCCATGCCCGAATTCGAAGAGGGCAAATTGCCGGCGGTTCAGAAAGACTGCAACATTCTCGTCATCGGAGCGGGCGGTCTCGGCTGTGAACTTTTGAAAAATCTGGTGAGCAAACCATCACGGCCATTGCCCCGCCCGTTTTCTTGGAGCTTCCTCGAAGAGCTCGCATTCATCGGTCCGGGCTGCATCCAGATATTCGCGCGGGCGGAAAAAGTTGCTCTAATGGGTTGGCATTTCAGGCCATGATGGGATTCATAAACATATCGGTGATCGACATGGACACCATCGATCTGTCGAACTTGAATCGGCAGTTCCTCTTCAGGGAGAAAGACATCGGCCGACCCAAGGCCCAGGTAATGGAGAGATCGAATTTTCAGTTACCGACTCCCGGGCGATCACGATACTGATTGGGAGTCTATCCCTCCACTAATGCCGCGAAATCGAGACCCTCACGTACATTGGGACCCTTACGTACGCGGGAGTTTCCTCCTCAATTATATTTCCACGAGCAGGTAGCTGCTGAGTTTATCAACAATCGGGTACCCGGAGTGAAAGTCACACCTTACTATGCGAAAATCGAGGATTTCGACGCCGAGTTCTACAAGGAGTTTAGCATCATCGTCTGCGGTTTGGATGCGATAGCGCCTCGCAGGTGGATAAATCGACTCCTATGCTCAATGCTGGAGTACGATGACCACGAGGAACTCGAGCCTGAGACCATCCACCCGCTTGTCGATGGCGGAACTGAAGGATTTAAGGGAAATGCGAGGTAGGGGTTTCAATTATAGAGGTGATCACGATATCTATCTCGTATCGGGCTCACATTCGTATTCGATATGCGGAACGTTTACGAGGAACTTTCATTCCCCCAGAGTCATGGCGCCGGGCATTACCGCGTGCATCGAATGCACACTATCCTTCTATCCACCGGCGGTGAATTTCCCCATGTGCACACTGGCCCAAACACCAAGATTGCCCGAGCATTGCATCGAATACGTCAAGCTAATACAGTGGCCGAAAGACAAACCCTTCGGTGGTACGTCTCCCAGCATTCGATATCATCCTCAGGCGACGAGGCTTGTAACGAATGAGTTCTCGGGCGTCTTTCTTTGACGCGAACGAGTACCGAGGCAACGAGGCTCTTTCAGAGACCGAAATCGACGGCGACAACCCGGAACACATACTCTGGATCCACGAGAAGTCCTTGGAACGAGCAGCACAGTTCGGCATTCACGGGATCACGTACCGTCTGACTCAGGGCGTCGTGAAACGCATCATACCTGCGGTAGCTTCGACCAATGCGGTGATCGCTGCCATCTGCGCCAACGAAGTCTTCAAGATCGCTTACAGGTGATTTTCCTCTCTGATGATCACCTCTCTTCGAAGTATACAGAATGAGAACGGAAGGTTGACGGGAGGTTGAAAGAGAGAGTCTCGCTTCGTTTCTCTAATGTCTCTTCCCGACAGCTGCTACCCGAATTTGAAGACATACGTCATGTTCAACGATACAGCTGGTATCTACACTGACGTATTGGAGCCTGAACGATTAGCGGACTGTATGTCATGCAGTATCAAGCCGCGTATGCTGCGATTCCCGCGATCGGTGAGAGCTCACTATGGTCTGACGTACGGATCGTGAAATCGAGCTCGGGCGCTCATCCTCACCGCTGTTTCCGATTCCAGGCAACGCTGGAGGACGTTCTAGATTTTCTCAAAGAATCACCGCAGTATCAGATGTCGAATCCTGGCGCAACCACGGCGACGCACGAAGGCCAGAAAACCTTGTACATACCCGGCATCAAGTCGCTGGAGGATCAGACGAAGCCGAATCTGAGCAAAACTCTAGAAGGTTGTTGAATATTTTTCGGGTCGAGGCGATACCTCCACCCATGGCGCCGATAATTAATGGACGAATTAACGAACAAACATTTCCAAGAAATATTCCCCGTGGCAGACGAGCTTGAGGTTTCTCTCGAGCTAACGTCTCTTCGATCACATTCCAGAGCTAGGATTCGTCGACGGTCAAGAACTGAATGTGACCGACAAAACATCTCCGACGGGATTCACCTTCAAGATTCGTTACGAATAATCTCAGAAATCCGGTCGCAAGTGAACCGCGAACTGAGCTCCGAGTGTTGAATGTTTCTTTCTTTCTCGTCTTTCGCCGCATCACATCCGGACAAAACCCTGTTTGACTCCTTTCGGTATCGAGAGCGAGGAACTGCAGCGAGAAAGCTTGCGAGACAACGAACGTGACAGAACGCAACAGTGAATAAATGATAATTATATGCTTCCAAGACGGAACCGTACATTACAAGTCTCTCATCGATCGCATAAGTCGCCGTTTTCTATGGCCCCGGGTCAGCTCCAACCTGAAGTTTTATTCTCGAAGTTTTTTCTCTGGGATCGCGGATATCCCCGAATCGGACATGGGGTACTACCGGAACGATTATTTGCCGTACCTTCATCTGAGTTAGTCTAGCGAGGCTAAGCATGGAAAAGTCCCGCCATCAGGGCTCGGGACTTGAGACAAGGGAGGAATTCTGACAAGTGCTGACACCGGGAACCCTTAGTCAGTCTTAAAAATCTTAAAATGGATCAAACTCCCGTCAGCTTTCTGGCAGGGTAATACACCGAAACAGCGGAGAGACGATGAGAATGGGGATAAAAGACGATGGGCAATGTTTCGATTCATCGGAAAATGCATGGTTGAAACCCGCTGTTACACGAACAGTTTTGCTCTCGAAGCAGATACGAGATATGAGAAAAAAATATCCAGCTTGTCGCTACGGCCTGGAATCGCGCGGCATTCGGAGCGTCAACAAGATCGCCGGGCCGCTTCACCGCCACCCGGATGTTTCCTTTTGCGGATCGGTATCAAGAGCCGATCTGCGCCTGACAGCAACCTTTTCGCTTCCGGCCGAGCACGCGTCGACATCGTGTGCGGAAAACTTCGCAAAGTTACCCAAAAAAATGGCCAAGCGTACGAAGAAGGTCGGAGTCGTCGGGAAGTATGGTACCCGTTATGGAGCCTCGCTGCGTAAGATGGTCAAGAAAGTGGAAATCACCCAGCACGCCAAGTACACGTGCACTTTCTGTGGCAAGGAGTCGATGAAGCGAACCTGTGTCGGCATTTGGAGTTGTAAATCGTGCAGGAAAACCGTCGCCGGCGGGGCTTACGTCTTCGCAACCACCGCCGCTGCCACCGTGAGGTCATCAGTGCGTCGACTTCGTGAAACCAAGGAGGTCTAAATAAATCTGTGACTCCCTTTGCGAAACAAAGCCGTGTCTTCTTTGTTCGAAGCTTGGAAATGGGTTCATCAACTCCGAAAGTTCTGAATTTTTCAATGATTTGGAGGGGAGCCGTCCTCTTATGTGAGATTGATGATGATCGGCGGTCCCGACGCAATGTCGGAGTGTAGAGTGCGCCTCTGGGCTCAGGTTCGATTTCAGCGATTAAAGGTAGATCTCGGCTGAGCGGGATCCTGATCCGGATGATTGAAGGTTTGGGATCCCGTCCCGTACTTCGGAATCAGTGGGTCATGGGTCACAGTCGGAAGAGAGAACAACGGAATGTAGCGAAAAATAGACGTTGGGATGAGCTTTATTCTTTCAATTGAACTTATGCAGTATATCCGCCGTCTTCAAGGCAACAGAGTGGGTTCACAACACAACGAATGCAAGCTGTCCACTGTGGGTTCTAGGTTTCCAGGTGAGTTCAAGCCGGGTGGGGTTTTGGGAATTCTTGGGTCCCGATAATCGTCGAATCTAATTTTCAGCGAATATTTCCTCCTCCTCCTCCTCCTCCTGATTGACTCCAGCTCACCGCCCAGTGACTAATTATCCACAATGCTTACTGCGACTAGGTGATATAGTATTTCAAAGGCTGAATGATGATGATGATATCTCAAGCATCAAAACCGGTAGATACCCCGCGTTGTTGCCGCTGCTTTGGCAAAAACAAAAGTGTGCACTAGTTTGGCGAGATGCCTCTGCCGTAGAGGAGCATCGAGAGAGAGATACCGACTGCTCCCGAAGCTCGAAGGATTCCTCCGGCTGACCGATAATACTTCCAAAGAACTACGTCCAGAAGTCTAAAAATTTCCGAATGTACCTTGCATAATAGTTTTGGCAGAACTCGATCCGAGCTAGCCTGAAGCTTCCTGACCAAAAATCGGGCGCCGCCGGAGACTTGATACCAGACGCAGCCGACAACCGAACGCTCATTGAATTCGTCCAATCGCCATCAACTTAGACTTTGTGCAAGCAACTCTGGCAGTTTTCGGACCGAACAAAGATCTTTCGATCCCCCACCGAGATCGATAGAGCAATGCTTGGTCTTCCCGCGTTTTGCTTCCTCGATCATTGGAAAGGAGCTGCAGATTTCGAAGATAGGAACGCGTTGATGCAAAATACCAACTGCTTGGCAAGCGCCTCGCTCGTCAGACTGACGGTCCGATTGACCTCACTCTTGCGTCCGGTATCCTTGAGACCGAACACCATCTTGACTTTGCTGCCGTCATGCGACGAGCTGCGATACTGAACAAAACCGTATTTCCATAGGTACTCCTTGCTGGCGATGTCGTAAAGCGCGAACCCCATATTCCAGTCGATGGTCAGCGATGCCGCCTTGCCCTCAAAGTGCACACTGAACGTCCTGCTGCTCAGAGTGATCACGCTGAGGTATGTACAAAGCGCCCACGAACGCTCCAGGGCGGCGCTGACGGTCGCATTGAGCGAGAAGCGAATACAATGATGAGGCGTTTCCAGGACGTAGTGCCGCAACGCGACAGCCATGTCGATACAGTCCGTGTCCGGAAGGAGTGAGCACTGATATGCTTTGTAAACAACTTGACATTCTTCGAACTGAGCAAGACTGACCGGCGCTCGGTCAAACTGAAACACGGAGCCGCCCTTGAACGCGAGGAACAGCGGTAGAGTTCGTTGTCGATTCCAGGGGAAGTAGCATTTCTTACTGATCCAGTCCATCCAGTGAACTTTGTTGGCCTCTTCGAGGTTTTTGTTTAGCCCTTCGATCTGGAAATGATTGGACCCAAGTTTAAGATTAGGACTACGATTGCTCCTACAGTGGGAATGTTGATCAATGTTCCTTATTCCTTCGCCTAATTGAAACTTCACTGACCCCTTGGTCGTTGCATCTCTGTACCGCGGCATGAATGAGTTTGAGCCACATCTCGCGGTTCCCTTTATCAGAGCATTGCACTACGGTCTCATCTTTCGAATTGGACGCCTGTAGCTTGAATGCTCGCTGTTCCTCCATTTCTTGCACGTAGGCGAACGACAGCTCGAGACACTTGCCCTGCTCTTCATCCTGAGAAAAAGAAGACCTTGATGAATGATCCGACTACCGTCCGATGATGATCCGACTGTTGAGCACATTACCGGTCGACTTGGGCTCTCAGGATGCTCCAATACCTTTTTCAGGAGCGCAGCGACTTCCTTGTAGTGTTTCACTGTCAGCACAACCTTGTCACCGCTGCTTCGGAGGAGCTCGGTCGCCTGTTCTCGGCTCAGACCTCTGGTGGGAGTGTCATTGACTTTGAGTATCGCGTCTCCAACGTACAATTTGATAGACGACGAGTCTTGACGTAGAATTTTTGAGATTATAATGGGGAGGTTGTGCTCCCTCCCGCCCTTGATGGCGACTCCGAAGCCACCTTCAGGCTTTCGTGAAAGAGTGATGACACGTTCCTGTAAAAAGTTTGGAAACTCGTCAGACCAATAGGTCGTGGACGGTAGGGGTCGGGGACAAACTCATTCTTTTCTTATATCAGCAGTCCCCGCTCGCTCCCTCCTGGCTGCGAAAGAGGGAGTGCTAGCCTTCTCCTCCTCTACGGTATGATGCTTCTTCCGAAGTATCATAAAGTACTTCGAGAACTCGACGGATACGTTGTGTTCTTTTGACTAGGGAAGCGAATTCCCACCCGAGATTTGGAAGCGTGCCAGACCATCCCATACCTTGTTGGGAACGGAGTATCTATTGGAGTCTCCATTCGGAACGATGAGCAAACTGTGATCACGCAATTCAAGCTGCACATTGAGACGTTTCTTTCCGTTCGCTGAGCAGACGAACATCTTCGTAGGTTTCATTTGAAGGGACACTCGCTCGGTATCAGAAGTGATGGCAGGGGCTCCGAGGAAGCTGCACATTGCGACATGGTCGTGTTCATCTGCAAGCGGGAAGTAACGTTGTTTACGAAATTCACTGCAACGGCGAACAAGGTGTCTCCGATTACCACGAGAACCAGATTGAAACGATAGAGAGGGTCAAGCTCTGTAAGCAGCGAGTCTTCTTCTCCCGCGCGAGCGTCTCTCCTGTCATGTCCTCCTCGCATTCCACTTTTTCTCCCACTCAGAACCCCACATCAGTCATTCTCGAGCTCTGATTGCAACAGAAACTATCTGGAAACTTTCCCCTCGAATGGTGGAAGCTACTCCATACAGGACAGAAAGATGTATTGGTGAATTCGGATCTCACCATCATGAGACCTGAGTTCCCACCGATTGTGAAGGGTTCTCTCGGGGAGACCATTCGATCGCTCGTTCGGCTCGGAACCTGTTTCTGGACGTCAGCCTACCTGTGTGCCGAGGAGCTCTCTGTGCTAGACCGAAGAAGTTCGAGTTCTCCGCCGCTGGGCCTTGCGAAAGGAAATTGACGTGAGCTTTTCCGAAAGCTCACTAGTGGTCTCCATGTTTCGAGCTGAGCCTTGCTTATGTTGCTCCTTTGTTGTTGCTCTTCTTCGTTCTCGTCGTCGTCTCTCTGTGTTTGTGGAGAATCTCGGCTGCAACGCGGGGAGAATGTTTCAACTCTGCTCGTGGGGCATTACGATCCCTCCGCTCGGTGGTGCTCCTGACGGGGAGAACTTCCAGTCCTCCGCATGATCTTCCCGGAGAACGCGCGGGAAGAGCTCACCACAGCGTGAAATTCCGCGAAAACGGAGCTCGTCGGAAGGGTGGGAGAGTGAAACAATGATGCCGATGATCTCTGATATGAATGGAGGTTGAATCCAGGCATAGGCACTTCCTCGTACCCTAAGTCAGAACCCCCCTGACTACTGTCGTTCCGACTTCATCAATCCGAGGAGCTGATGAGAAGAAAACGGTCTGTGCTGCCTCGCAGGAGGGCATCCAATCGGTCACTGGAAACATCCAGCAAATAGGCTCATATCGACCTCTATATCGGGGAAGCGTCGAGGATACCGTCTCATCCCGTGGTTTCCCAAAGTTTGCTTCCTTCCTTCCGCCGCAGATGACCCGCTGTCCGGAGGTCGAAACTGATACACAGATACAGACAATGGGAATTCAAAGCGGAAATGCCATCTAATCCGTGTACGGAGTTCGGAACGGGCCCTCTGTTCCCAGTCAGATAAGAAGTACTCTCTGTCCACCATGTATCGGAATGCACTACCGACCGGCCCCAAGCGGGGAGTACACCATTCGATTTGTGCCTAGCCGTTATGCCCGAATTGAATGGCCTAACGCCTCGGAGGACGTGATGGCCTGGGAGACATCAGGCAGCTCTCAATGTCGTCTCATCCGTCAGATACTCGGGCTTTTGGGAAATATGACACCCGACGTGACCAATTTCTTCGGATCGTTCTTCGGCGCCCTGAAGATCCGGTTCACGAGCAAATTAGAGAGGAATGGGTCATCAGACGGTCCATCCTCCGACTTGAAGGAATAATCTAGATCGCCCACCCATCCTTCCATTCTTCTGGCGAGAATCAAGTTTCACTAATCTCCTTGTTTCTCGTTGACGATAAGGATTTTGATTCTGTATGTTAGAATCCACCAAATATCTAAGCCAGGTATTGCCGAATTTGCGGAAACGTGATCTTTCACCATCTCTCCGATGATAAAATATGACGTTTCTTTATGATGATCGCTATGATTGCTCGAGAGGGAGGGTGCTCGAACGACGGGAGATTGGGTTTCCCCCCGCCTGCGCGTGGGAAGGTATCGGATCTGTGACCGGACCTGCGGCACCAGCCGACGCGATAAGACTCACATCTCCTTCTGCCATTGACCATGAGCCATGAGATAGGCGAGCTGGGATATGAGAGAGGATATGGTACAAGAAGATGAGAGAGTCTTTCGCGCGCGTTTCTGCTCAGAAGACGACGGCGGAGTGATATTTCTGAGTGAGAGGAATCGTAAGGTAGTGGATGCTCGCTCGCCGCTGCTCACGAAGAAATAATGACAAGAGAGTAAATGCGGAATTCGGCTTGTGCGGTAGACGCTCGCATGAGTTTCGCGACGTACTTTTGTACGACTGCATGTATGGTTGAGACAGCGTACAATTTTGCGTCTGTCGGGTCGATGGGGATTGTTCGAAATAGTAACGCGCGGTGAATACCACGAAGACAAATGACAAATCTGTCGACGATGGGAGAGGGGAGAGTCAAGAGAATGATGTCGATGATCTATGCTGTAGAAGAGTTCCTCTCACTGATCGGCCCGCGACGGCTTCGCCTATGAATCTCTCTGATGTGCGCCGAGTGGTTCGAAGTATCTCCTCTGCCCCGGTTCATGAAATGCTGTATGGAATAGTCTCGTTGCTTACGTTCCGCCCCGTCCCAATGTCCCAAGATCTGATTGGATTGGCTCAAGTCGAGTTCGATTTTGAAGCCTTCCGCTCGCGACTATTCCGATCTGGAAGGAGAGATTCCCTGACTTTTACGGTCGATCTTCTCGGCACCGCTCCGAGATGACAGCGGTACAGCCATCCCAATGGAGGGATTGGGGGTTTGATCACCCGGCAATATTCCCGCGAGAGTTCAGTTTCACTCGTCCAGTGCGATCCGGTGTCCTGAGTTTATTTCATTTAGAGCGGTTTTGTGAGCAGTCTGTAACTTCCACCGATATTGAGGTGTCCACCTCTTCGGCTTCCAGTCTCTTCTCGGAAACAGGTGTCTTTGATTTGATTCTCATAGGGCCTTCCCCGGGACTCTCCGGCCTTGGTCGCCGCCTTCTCTTCTCTCCACCCGCTCTTCGATAACTTCGGTGAGTGAGATACGTGCCCAAGAAAGATGGAGGCTGTTGCTCGAGGCATAGTCCACTCGGCATTCTATCCACTCCATCTTTATCCACAGGGTTTCGATTGGAGAAGGAAAGCTGATCTACGAATGGGCTTCCTTCCCTTGTTGACGTTGCATAACTTATCCCCTTAATGGAGACTCCCTGCTCCAACAACTTGCATGAGCAGCTCCGATTGGCGACGTCACATCAGGCGCGGAGCTCGGCGCATCTTCAGGATTGGATTCCCCGTGAGCCGTATCTCCACGAGATCAGACATCACACCGAGTAGAAACCGTTGGCTCTTCAGGGAATCCCTGAAAAATAATAATTGCTTCAAATCACGCCAAGTGGCGGTCGTCGGCTCCTCTGCCGAAACAGTTGGAACCTCCCCCCTCATTTTCTGGCTCTCGGATTCCAGAGATGGATTGCAGTCGGACCCCGATTCACGAACCTCTGGCGAGCATACCCACTTTTGAATTCAGGATCTTTTTTTGATGAACGAATCTGCCTCGACTCTCGTACGAAGATTCGACTCACGGACGACTTCCCTTGTAGAGGAGGCTCGGGTATTTCCTGGGAGTCCTCCGAGAGATTCGCCCGGTGAACTCCTTAACATTGAAGTGTACGAACCCGAGCAACAATACATTACTGGCGAGTTTCCCGGAGCTGCGCCGGGTCAGCGCTCGCGAAGCCCGGCGGTCTTAGATGGCCACCATTCGCTTACTGACTTCAACCATATATGACTTATGAATCGTAGGCGTCTGGTCCTCGAACAATGTATTGACGAAATGTCTACTCCAAATGCTCAAGGCGTCGTCTTCCGCTTGAGATTTCGTCGCCTGGCGTCGCCTGGTCGCCTGGTCGATGTTATACTCATCGCAATGCCCCAGAGTTTCCAATCAAACCATGAATTTTGAAATCAAAGGGGAGTGATAGCCCGACTGCGCTAAAACGGCGACAAAGATCATGGAAATCATTGTCTCCCAGTCCCTCAGACAGACACACTGTATCTTCACGCAGGTTGTGGGTACTGGGCTTTCTGTTCATCTCGCGGTCTCATGACATCTTTTGTTTCTCAACAGAATAACATACATACAGTTGTACGCTGTCTCAGTCATGTCTGCGGCATTGAGAAATAAGGCGGCCAATCAGGCGAGCATACAAGCCGATTTCACGCCTTCAAGGCGGAGGGCTTCTCGTCGGCGCGCGTGTGGCCCCGCAAGAGGATGATACGTACAGAACAGAGAGGAAAAATGGAAGAGAGTACCTGGGGCGAGGGAGATAGTCGGTTTTCGAAACTCCAATGGCGCCAAAGGGGACGGTTCGCGATAAACATATTCTCGCGTCACGGATCAATCCACGGAAAGGGTACAACTCGTCGGGTCTCCGAGACCCGCGAAGGCTGCGAAATTCCAAAGGCGGGAGATTTTCTTCTTGGGATCATTCTGCGAAACATTCCGATGAGGGGGATTCTTCATTCCCCGTTCCCAAATCTCGCTTCAGGCTTGCGAGATTGGTCATTTGTCTATGATAGTGGCGGTACCAGCATCACGCTAACCAAGCTCCAGCTTCGTCGACCCATGAACTCATTAAGGGTCTCCATGGGTCTCGGTGAAATTCATTGTGCCATCAGCGGAGCATTGAGAGAGCTGGACAAATCGATACGAGTTTCCGGTGTACTTTGTGGAAGTCATCGTCTAGGGTCTAGACTCTGAGGGAGGGTGACACCGGATCCCGATAGAATTCTCAGAACAGCGGAAGAATTCAAAGGCCATGTTCATCGTGGGGACCTCATAGATAATCCCCGATCGGAGGGAGGGACCTCCTTCGATTCTGGAATTCTTTTCGAGTAGGTTGATTGGAACGAAGTTTAAGCATAGTCCTCTAATTGAGACTAGAGGTCCTCCCAACTTCCGCGAACGATGCGTAGGCTCGGATTATGGGTTGGGAGGGCAAGCATTGTTTCGCACGGGGATGACCCCACTTTGAGGATCTCTTGATCTCTGCAATGCGGGCGCTCCGCGCTTAGAGGGAGAGTTGCTGTCGTGCGCCTCTGGCTACGCCGCGCCGCAGCCGCCATGTGGCCGATGGCCAGGGACAGAGGACTGTGGGGGAATCGAGCTCCAAGATTCAATTCGCTATTTCCTCGAGGGAAAGACTCTCTGTGACGGCGCCATCGATCGCTCCATCTTTGAACGAGACAGCGAATAAATTCAGTTCGGTTCTGCTTTTTCTTCAGAAAAGTCCGTATTGCGTAAAGGTGTGAGTCCGATCCCACGACGCGACGCACCGATTCAAATGAATGCAAGTCGGTGAAGGGACGAGCGACTAGGCTTACACCATGATTCCGCCCCTGAGCAATTCCGCCGCAAAAAGAGGAAGCACTCTGCGAGCTCGGCAGAGCTCAGGCAGGATTGAGCTTCCTCGACTGCGCAGCTTCGCTTACGAAAGCTCTAAAAAATTATCACCCGGAATACACGTCGGCTTCCATCTGCATACAATGTCTCTCGACTCCCGACACAGCATGTTTGTGCCTACCTGAGTCTCTATAATATTATGATTATCCTGCTATCCCCTCCTGACGGGTGCGAGGTGCCCTCACGGCTGTCAGCATTATAATTGAAATTATTACAGCAGGCGATTCGGGTGACTTGGTTGACGTTTGCACCTCCGCGTACCGCGAGGAAGAGGAATTGTCACGAAAAGTTTCCTCTGGAGCTTCTACTTCTCAGCGATACCGGCCAGGACCAATAGAAAGCGGAACTTCCTAGCGTCTCGGCAATCCGATCCAGATGCGGGTGTAGAATTTCGGAGGTATCAGAGATCAGAGTAGCATCAGAGACAACCCTGCGCTCAGGAAGATCTGTGCTCCGCTCCGGCAGGAGGATTTCCGAAGTGACCGAAGACTCGACGACTCATTGACTACATTCGCGTCAAGCGGAAGCGCGGTTCTTCCTCCCGCCCTCAGAAATCCTCCATCACCTGCCCACAAGGGAGGGTCGTGATCGATGTCTCGCTATCAGATCTCGCAATCGGAGACCGGAGAAGCTCCAGCGAAGCTGATGCATATGAAAATGATAAACTCCTTCCAGCTGGATCACATTGCGAATTTACAATGGTACAATTCAGAATAGAATCGAACGACAAAACAGGAAACTCCCGCACAACGAACGGTTGGCTTGCTTTCGCATAGTTCTGGACGTAGTTTATCCAGGAGAGGGTTGACAATCAGAATTTCCCCAGACTACTTGGTGCTGAGTTGCGTTTCTACTTTGCTGGTAGCAGCCGACCTTGTAATTTCACGCCGGTCATTCAGTCTTCAGCGGAATCGTCAACTTTTCGAAATGAAACGGCTTCCTCCTGCATCCCGCCTCATGGAAGTATCTCAAGGATGGGGCAGACGCGAAGTCTTTTTCTGTTTATTTTTTCCCGATCCTACCTTCACTCTTGACGAGTTCGGCATTCGGCTCAGTGATACCCATCAGGCGAAGATCTGCAAGCAAAACTTCGCACATGAGTGCTTGCTTCTAATTTCAAGGGATATCACACGGGAAATTGCTGCGATCATACACCCGCAAACATCAGATCCCTCGAGAAGCCCTCGACAGGGAATCTCATGCGGAGAATTCGGCTTGTTAGAGAAAGTCGGGATCATTCGCCGCTTGGAGAATTTTCCCTGAGCAGACTGAATGGAGAGGCGCTGGCATCCGAAAAAGCCGCGTGGCTATCCGACAAGCGAAACGCTATGATGTATACATAGGCGATTCCTCGAATTCACGTTCAGGGAGGCAAGGGCTCCGGAGCCATGGCACGCTTCCATGCTCCAGCATTGCGGACGAATAAAAAAAAAGGAAACATGGAAGGGGTGGGGATGAGCTCAGCCCTCATACAAATCCCACACGTCCTCAAATCGATGTGCTCAGGGTGGAGATGGTTGACCCGTTCAGGACGCATTCTGGATTGGGGATCGCGGAATCCGGGACGCATCTCCGTCCGCTTTTATACATAAGGGATACATACGCATGAAGCTCGACCACCTCAGGCGGAAACTCATGCGATTGTTCATTGTTCGCGCGCGAATTTCTTTCTCGAATTCAGAGTGCTATCAGCTGCGGCCGCCAATACCCAATAGCAGTCGTAGTCGCCGCCTCTCCTCTCTTCGGGATCTTGTTGGCGGCGCGCATCACCGACCGCTCAGAGAATTCAGCTGCTGCGACCGCTTCACATTTCCCGAACAAGAGAAAGAGGGTTTTGTGTTGTTGGGTACAGTCGGTCCGTCGGTCCGGCGATCTGTTCTGTTGAACGAGAGCTGCTGATGGTGGTGGTGCAGACTGCTGCTCTTGCTTTGGTTGTGGTGGTGCTGTATTTGTTGCTGATGCTGCTGATGTTTGAAGCACTAGTGCTGTATACGGTGTTTTGTTGTGGAGGCTGCTTGTCGAAGTACGCGTTTCCTCCTCATGCTGTGGTGGACTGTGCGTGTTGTGCCGTAATTGTGCTTCTGACGACAGAGGTAAAACCGATGTCTGTGAAATGACTTAAGGGATAGATCTCTACAAACAGGGCTATCCGCCCGGATCGCTCGGAGTCGACTTTATCAGTGATAAGGAGTGTTATCTCCTTGAGGGAGGCAGAAGCGGGACAGCAGAGGCTTCGAGACCATGCGCCGATTCGAACACTTGGTTCCAGCTGAGCGGAATCAAGCTCGATCGGTGTGCTAAAGCGACGCATTTAGGATTATAGCTCGAGAACGCATTCGACGAGAATATATGAATTCTCCTTATCGGCTCCGATCCTCGTGTTCTCGCATCGAAACCGCCGCTCGGGTCTCGTAATTATGGTCCGCCATAGTTTCTGTGTGTAGTTCTCTTCTCAGAAGCAAACGCGGAGTTTCTCGGTAAGTGTGAATCATGAGATTTACTCGCTATGTCAAGTATCCTTCGAGCTGTACCGAGTTCCGACCCTCAGTAGAATCGACTTCAGGCTACAACGGATGCTCCCCTTCTCCCAAAAGTTGAAAATCTGATCATCGCTGGTGACATGCCAACGATGGGAGCTTATCTGTTGGAATGTCCCGTTCCCATCAGAGATATTCGATCGTTGGGATCAGCTCCGGCACTCCTAAATCCTGGAATACAACGACAGAGAATCTCGAGTCTTCGCGTAGCTCATTCGCATCATGTAGGTACATTCCATGGCCGGTAGAAGCAGACTAGAGTGACATTATCGGGGCGGAACGTCACGTTAGCCGTGGAGGGAACGTCTTCTGTGACTTCCGAATATGTCACGCTTTCTTCCTCGAGGGAAATTCCAGGCTCGCTGATTGACAGTACCGCCGTTTCCGGTACTTTGAAGGATCGGCTAGCGCAAAGATCGACGTTTGAGAGAGGTGAAGATTTTGCGAACCTCGGCGCTTCTGGGATTCGGTTGAGCATAGAGCTCGCTCGGTTGTGAGGGTCCGTGTCTATTCGTTCGCTCACCTGGATCCAGGCACGGCGATCGTGTAGCAGAAAGGTGCGAGTGCGGAGACCTTCCTGCTTGTTGTGACCGGGCATGAAGACACGTGCTCCTAGATATCAGAACTCTCTGAGGTGGCGGTGATCACGCGGTGCGAGTGTACCTACTCCCGGAATCCCACATTCACGCGAAAACGGGAGGGAGCGGGGAATTCCGGGGCTAGATCGAGACATGGATCAATGCTCTGACAGCGAACGATTCGAAGGCCATCTACGGAAAACACATGGGTTCACACGAATAACTTTCTTAATACTATAATCAACAGCCTGCGATTGAGGAACCCGAGACGGAGTATCAGAACGCGAACGATTCAGACGTAAGATGACGCTATGCGCGTAACCTGCATGCATCGAGTGAGGAGTCCGAGGCAGGAGGCTGCCGTTTCATAGCGAGGGATGCCGTGCCATCAGCACATATACACCTTGAATCGACCGTAGGATCCGATATCGAGCCCGATCGAGAAAAGTCCCGGATAACTCTCGATAGGCATAAAGGTCCTCTCTCGCAGTCTCGTCGTCCAGAATTCGTGCAGAGAAGAGACCTGCCAACGTGGGAAGTGGACACTCGACCCTCGGCACTAAGATGTTGAAGGGGGCGGCTGAAATCCACAGTTTCAACCCCGGTTGGCAGTTCCGACTGTATTGTATTCCGATACGATTCACGGAAGCGGGGTCATCGAAATGCTCATGTTCCCTCATGGGAAGCTCTGGATACCGTGTGCTCTTGGTCGCGTCTTCAATCCGTTTCGGATCAGCTGTGAATGAACTCCATGGCGTTTCTGATGCCGGAGGAAGAGACATCCGCGCATGTTCGAGAATCCACGAGAGAGGTCATTCAGTGAAAGACGCCGTTTCCGAAACAACTCCTTATGTGGAAGAGGCCTCACTTCGGCTCTTATCTCACTGCTAACCAGATCCTGAAATCGAAGTGATCTCGCAGAGTTCAGATTCTTCGATTTTCGGATTCAGCATCTCGCGACCTCCTCGCCTCGAGGAATCCCAAGTGCGCACTCCGCTCCTGACAATGAGCAGTGCTCTGCCACCCGCCGTGCTGAGAGACTCGAGAACGCCCTTGGAGGGCAGTTCGAATCCAAATTCGATCCGGATGCCAACCGTGATTGGCGCAGATCTTCGATAGAAATATGCGTCGCCGATGTTGGTTACCGGAAAACCGCACGAAATTGTCCGACAGTCCTCGGCAGCAGCTGAGGGGAATGATCCGGGACCATAGAAATCTATTATTCGATTTTCCCGACTTTCAATCGATTGAGAACATAACGTGAAAATTCTCATATCGGAGAGCCGAAATTCTGGCTCTTCGAAAGCTCAAGACGTAAATATCGTGGGTTTGAAGTACCACGCAAGAGCTTTGATTGACAATCTTCCGAGTGGAAGCGTTCGCTCGATTTATCTTCGGTGTTTAATTAAGCGGACGAAGGATACTGATTGAAAAGTTCGATCTGGTACGCTGGGTCGTTCGTTACGGTTGCAGAAGCTATCAAGAGCTATTCGATTGATCTGCAAAGGTGTTGCTTTTACTGCATTTCATGATGGAGCGATCCGCTCTCTCCCATCTCAGCCGAGCGAGTTTTCGTTTCTGACTTGATTCGGGAGTCCTCTATTCGCTTCCCGGACGTCGATCTTGTGTATCTTGCTTACGCTCAGGTCGCGATTTCGGATGGAAGCTACGGCAGCCTCATCCTGAATTCTCGATGCTTCGAACCTTTCCGATTCGGATCAGCCGCGGAAACTGTTCAAGACCTGCGTGTCGAGGCTCAGCTTGGAAATGAAGCAAAAAAAAACAACCAGAGAACTCTCTGACCGTCCGACTGAGCTACGGAGAAAACCGATGACACTTTACAATGATTCCGGCATCCGTTTCTGGATGACTCTGATCCGTCGGCGGATGGTTTTTCCGGAGTACAGCGAGGAACAGGGAAGAAGGCAGGGAAAAGGAATAGCAGACTTTGTGTTCATCGTCGATGATTGTTCTGTTCTTATCGCGATGTTCGGAACCTTGGCGGCGGCATACTACTAGCAGCAAGAACAGACTTTATTTTCTCTCGAACGACGAAACGGCGCGGCACTAGTGTATAATTTGCTTGTGAAGTAGACGCGATATGCTTAGACGTCGCTGATGATGTCGACGACGCCGATGATGATGTCCTTGTCAAAGTCAAAAATGTTCGCTTCCATCCATCTGTCCGTCAGCTTGCTTGCTTGCTTGCTTGGTTTGTTCATTCAATGAAGAAATGATGGACAAGCGAACGGTAGAGGGGATAAGCGTCCGCGATGAGTGGAAAGGTTTCTGTGCGCCGATAACAACAGAATCCAGAAAAAGAATCGTTTGCACTCACGGCAACACCAACGTCGGTAAGCCCCTCATATAACCAGGCTCGGCCTTCCGTTGTTCTTCGTTTTCGTCATCCGACTCCGAGCGATGAGGTTCGTTTTCTCTCGGGTCGAACCACGAACGGAACACATGTACGAGAAATGTACGCCGAACGACACGACGCTTCAAGAGTCGTTCAATGTATCGATCCGCAGTGCATTCAATCTCCAGCAAGATTTTATCCCTCCGCAATCGAAACGAAGACGATATTCTTCCCGAGGACCTCGAGCTCGTCAGGCCTTAGCTGAAGATTTTCCAAGTTGAGGGAGAGCTCCTCGAAGCTCTGAGGAAAGTTCGCTCCGAATCTACGTTCTCGTCCCGAAGAAAAATCGGAAACCTTCCGAATTTCGTTGCAGACCTTCCCGATTCAGATCGACAGCCCCCCTTGAAAATTCTGAAAATGGGAATTCCGATGCTCGAACGGGACTTTGAACTCGGGTCGCAAGGCCTCCGATCTTCGAAATGCCGATAGCGCTTGATTTTGATGATCCCCGATTCTCATCAAAAACCCTCCGGGTTCAGGGGACTCACCGACTCATACCCTTGTGAGCCTTCCGCCCCCCCCGATTATTCATTAGCTGAGAGATGACAGTCTGTAAAATTCAAGTCGGAATCGTCTCCGAGCAGAGCTATCATGAGCGAATTGGTGCTGAACTTCGTGCTCACGGTACCTGCTCACCAAAATGTGGAGTGGTTCTTCATGAAAACGCAGGCAAGCAGGCAGGCGGGCGGGCGGGTAGGCAGACAAGAAGGCGATCCAGCGGTCGTGAGGGCTCTGAGAAAAAAAGAAAGCTTCCGATGGATGGGGCCTTCGAGTCGGACCGCTCCGACAACATACAGTAAGAAATTCGGTTGCTCGGCTGACGAAGCTGACGGACTGAAAACCCCAACGACGAGTAACGCCTTCGTCTTCTTCGTCTTCTTCTTCTTTTTCACGGCTGAGACCAGCACAACGATAAGGAGGAAAATTGAACGCAGCCAGTCAGTCAGATTTCGTTTCGTTGAAACGATTTCGCTCGTTCCTGCGGAGGATTTTTTTGTTCGATGTTTTCGTCGCCCGGTGTCTTGTGACCCTGATAAATAATTCGATTCGTCTTCGAGTCTGAGGGTTTGACGATTGCCGATTTATACGTGTCTGCGTGTGTGTGTATTGAGGGCGTGTCGTCGCCACAAAAGTCCGATGTGTTCAGCTTCGCTATGCTTTCTTGATTCCAGCGGTGTCGCAGCTTCTAGTAATTCATGCATCGCTTTGCATCCGTGATCACACAGATGATGGCGGTGTTGATCGAATTCGGTTTTGGCAAGAGTGGTATTCGGATTCCGCCGGGAAAATACCCCGAAATCGGATGGCGCTTCCATTCGAAGTTGAGGCAGGAAAGTGCGATATCCGTGGAGCAATTCGTGCCTCAGACCACACGACATTAATGCGAATTCTGAACCACATTCACCCAGGATCTTGAGAAAAAGTCTCTCCTTCGCGGAGTCGTTTACTCCCTGGTGAGAGCAGGAGAGAATCCTGATTGTGCAAGGAGTTCTCCGGCGGCTCTTTCACACGATCCCGGAATCGTTGACTCGGAGCACCCATACGATTTCCTGCTCTTCCTC